AGTAAAATTAGCTCGTGCCCTCCCTCCGTGCTGTGGCCATAATAGACTCGGGGAGCCGGGCTGAGGCAGAGCAGGAGGAGGGAAGAGCCGCACAAAAGGCAGAGGAACTGTTTGGATGTGTTATTTCTCTCCCTCCCCAGCCAGAAATGGGAATTGACTTGGCCCGAGTTCAGCTGAGGGAGGGAAGGATGAGCCTCCAGCTCTGCTCCAGTGGGGTTATCTGAGGCGCTGCAGATGGGCGCTGGCATGTGGGGACAAGAGGAAGGACCCTGAGCTCGGGAGGTGGGGTACGGCCTGACCCATGCTCTGGGTCCCATGGGGAGCACTTGTGACCAGCTCTGCTGGAGCAGCTCATAGAGCCAGGGCCTGCCCCACAGTGGGGAGCGGGTCAGTGACAGGTCCAGATGTGTCCAAGCGGTGTCTGCTTCATGCTCCTGAGCCCTGGAGGTGAGGACGTGCCTGAGGTACCTCCCTGCTTGGTGGGGAGCTGTGCAAGGAGCTGCATCCCTGTTTGTGGGGAGGGAGGTGCGTGGCTGGACACCCCCCGGGACACTGCGGGTGCCCCCGGCTCCAGCAGTGACACACTCGGGCGCACGTGGAGCATCAGGTGAGCAGCAGAAGTGCCTGGGTCAGGCTCAGTGGGGCGGTCAGAGGAGCCTGTGCCAGCGCTTTGCTCCGGTCTCTGCGCCGGTGAATGAGGCTTTGCCAAAGCTGGGCCCCTCCAGGCGCTCGGGCCAGGCTCCTGTTGCCTCCACTGCTTTGGGCCTTCAAGAGGAAGGTGGGTGCTGAAAGTGACCCCCATGGCCCCTTGTCTCCTCCTCGCCCACCGAGGATGTGCCCCGTGTGTCCATCAGCGCGGCGCAGGGATGGAGGACGGGGTCCTGCAGCAGTGCCGAGGCAGGGGAGGGTGCAGGGGTCTGGTGGACCCCCCGAGGAGGAGTGTGTCTCCCACCACCCATCCCCATGTGCGTGTCCCCCTCCTCTGCAAGCAGTGGGGTGATCAGTGGCACAAGTGCGGACGGATGACGCTGCTCGGCCTTGGCAGAGAAAGGATTGAGCATCCTTTAAAGAAAATTATACATAATCGTCTTACAGCCTTCGCTTCCACTCACCCCTCTGAGTCATAACTGAAGGGCCCTGGAGCGTGACGTTCCTGCTGGAAGGAAATTGCCTCGGCTGGATCTGGAGGGGGGGGGAGATAGGAACCAGCCCCTGCCTGTCTGGGGATGCACCAGTGGGAGCAGGGGGCCAGGGCTGTGCTGGGGAGAGGTGAGCGCATGGACCTGACCCTGTTGCAGGAGATGCCTCTGGAAATGGCTCTTAGTGTGCTGAGTCACTGAGCTGCTCTGGAGCTGATTTGAGGCCGTTCTCCCACCGCGGGAGGGGTTCCCCCCATCGTGCCCCCAGCCCCTCACGTTTCCACCTCCCTCCGGAACGCTGCAGGAACAGGGCTGCAGCCTCTGCACCCTCCTCACACATCCTTCTTGTGCTGCCCCTGCAGGCGCTGAAGCCGGGCTCTGATGTCGTCCCCCCAGGGAGCAGCAGCGTTAGGGACGATGGGAAGGGGACGATGGGAAGGGGGCGATGGGAAGGGGGCAATGGGAAGGGGCAATGGGAAGGGGCGATGGGGAAGGGGCAATGGGAAGGGGCGATGGGGAAGGGGCAATGGGAAGGGGCGATGCTCCGGGGCCCTCCCGCTGCCTCACCTCCCTCTCCCCTTGCAGGGCAGGTGCCTGAGGAGGAGGCAGCGGCACAGAACGGGCAGAGCCGTGGCCGGGGGCTGCCCAAGCCCGTGTGCATGAACGGGACGGAGCCGGGGCAGCTCAGCACCAAAGCCAAGAGCGAGCGCCGGGCCAGCGCCTCCTCCAACCCCTCGCGCAAGGCCTGCTCCGCCAGCAGCAAGATCCGCAAGCTCTCCACGTGCAAGCAGCAGTGAGGCCGGGGCCCCTCGCTCCGCACAGGTAATGGTGGGGGGGAACACACACATCTGAGCCAGGGGCAGCAGGAGGGGTGTTCTGCAGCCCCTCGTGTGGAGAGGGGAGAGCTCTGGGTGCTGAGCATCCCCCTGCAGATAGAATCATGGAACGGTTTGGGTGGGAAAGGACCTTAGGATCATCCAGTTCCAACCCCTGCCGTGGGTAGGGGGGCTTCACATGTGGCCCAAGGCTCTGTCCAACCTGGCCTTGAACACCACCAGGGATGGAGCATTCACCCCTTCTTTGGGCACCCTCACAGTGATGAGCTTCTTCCTTACCTCCAACCTTGACACACGGCCCTGGGAGCTTCTGCACTGCGAGGGGGGTGCAGAGCCCAGTGGGGACCCCCCCCCTGTGCTCCCCATTCTGCCTGGCTCTGCTCTACCCTCTCCATGTAAGCTGCTGCCTCATCCTTCCTCCCCTTGCTGGGCTGCAGCATCAGGACAGCCCCATTCCCTGCCCCGGAGCCCTCCTGGACCACGAGGTGTCCGTGTCACCGGTGGCCATAGCCGAGCCCCTTCCCCTCCTGGGGAAGCTGAGCATCATCCCCGCTCCCCCCTCCTCCTCCTCCTTCCGGCTCTTTCCAGGGCTCCGCATTCCCTGTCCCTTCTTCCCAGCCCTCATTCATGAGTGAGGCAGCGATGACTCAGGCCACCCCCGGGCTCTGCTCGCGCGTCACGGCTCCGTGGGGCTGAGGCTCTGGATCCGCCTGGATCACGACCAGCTTTGTGGTGTGAAAGGAGCCCGAAATAAAAGCGCCTTCCTCCCCCTGCAGCTGTCAGAGCTCGGGCCCCTGTGGCAGCTTCATCTTTAATTCATGCCTGGCAGTGACTCACCTGCACGGGGACCTACGGGAGCCGCAAGCAAATGCCTCGGATCCGGGTTTCCCGGCGGGATCAGGGGCTCCTCTCGCCCCCTTCCCGCTCGGTTCCCCGGGCCGGGGGCTCCACTGCGGGTGCCCAGAGGTTTTGGGAAGGGGAAGGTCCATGCGGGCTGCCTGAGCCCGGTTCATGCCCTGCGGGGATGGCCGGGAACAGTTGGGAATCCCCAGCCCTGCCCCAGCAGTCAGCACCCTAAAACCATTGACAGAAGCAGCGCTTTGTCTCCAGGGCACAAGTGAAGCATGGGATTTGCTTCCTGGCTGCGGGAGCGAGGAGGGGGTGATGTGGGCAAAGGGCTGGGTGCTAGGATGGAGCTCCGGGATGGAGCGGGGTCCCTGGGACCCCCATATTCCCATCCACACGGTGCCATCAAGAGAGGGGGAACCTGGAGAACACATGGGGCCCTGCACTCACTGTAACCCCTCTGCTCCCCACAGCAGCGCCCCGGGGCCAGCCCGTGTCCCGTCCCCCCCTCCATCGCCCCGGCTCTGCCTCCCTCCTGGCGTGGACTGTGCTTGTGATCCAAAAAGAACCCAGAGGAACCCAACCACGGCCCCGTGCCTGCGGCCCCGCTCCCGCCTGGACCCAGGAACCCCGATGGTGGCCGCGGGAGGACGGATCCCAGCTGCTCTCCCATCACTTTGCCAAGCGAGCCCCTGCTCCTGGTTTGGATTTGGGGGTGGGAGCAGCGCGGCCGGGGCCCCCCTGGCTGTGTAGAAGTCGTGCAAAGCCATTGCCGTGCACTTTATGTTTTAGACTACTGTTATATATTATATATTTTCCTCTCTTTTTTTTGGTTTTTGCCCCCCTTGGTTTTGTTTATATTTGCGGTATATTTAGAGATTCCTACACATCGTGATGTGTGAAAATAAACCCGATGAGGAAAAAAAAAAACCACCCAGGTATTAAGACAAAGCAAAGCTCTATGAAACCTGCATGCTGTAAAGGGCTCGGGAAGGGCTCGGGAGCGGTCGTTGACTCTTCTTTTCCTTTCCTTTTTTTTTTTTTTTTTCCTTTTTTTCTCCTTTTTTTAAGAAAACCACAATAAAGTGCAAGCAGCGAGGTGGGGTTTGGTCCTCTCCTTCCTCCTCGGCCTGGCAAAGCCGCTCCTCGGGGGTGATATGGGGGGCCGGAGGCTCCCTGCCCTCCCCAGCCAGCCCCTGCCCCGCACGGAAACAAGCTCAGAGGAGGCACGCTTTTGGGGTCTTTTTTGTCTTTTTGTCTTGTTTAGAGACTTAAAACCACCGAGTTGGAGCTCGACTTGGTGCTTTGGACAGAGACTTGGCGGAGGGAAGGAGCAACCCGGCCTCTTGACTCGCATGCAGTTGGGGGGCCAAGGGGCTCTCCCCGTCCCAGCCCCCCCCCCCCCCCCCCCAGGGAACAGGTAACACAGTTGGGCAGTTACTATTGGGTTTTCCCCCTTTTTCTTTCGTACCCATCCTTTGAAACACAAATAAAACCCCACTAAAAAGCAGAGCTGCCCCCCCCAGGAGCAGCCACTGCCTCTGTACCCATCAGTACAAATCCTCTGAGCTCCTCGGGAGGGCGAGGGGGGTGTGGAGCACTTGGGGGTCACCCATGCTTGGCTCTTGCCCTTTACACCCAGGCAGCCCCCACCCCTATTGGGGATGCTTTGGGGGGGGCCCAGGGCTCGTTCCGGCTCCCCAGCCCTCGGGATGCTGCCACAGGAGCCCCTCGAGCATCCTCTTGCCCCAGCACGGCCACCCCAGTGGCTTCCAGTTTAGATCCCAGGATCCCTGCAGAACTGGAGGGGGGGAATGGGCTTGAGGAGGGGATTCTCCCTCCCCAAATAACCGCCCCCCTCCCTTCCCACCAGCGTGGCACCACGGCGGCGGGAGGGGGAGTACCCAGCTCTGGCCCCGTCCCCACCGGGACATCCCGGCTGCACCGGGGGCATTATTGCTTGTGAACACCGGAGCACGGGGGCAGCGTGTCTGCTACACAGCTCTGCCGGGGCCCAGGGCTTACCCCCTCCTTGCTCTGCTCCATCTCAACTCCCCCCCCGGGGCCCTGCGCCGCTGCCTGGCCCCTCGGCCACCCCGCGCTGCCGGACCCCCGCACCGGAGGGGGGGGGGGTACAGCCAGGGGACCCCACGCATCCTCCTGGCCCTGCCGTGCAGCAGGAGGGGATGGAGCCCCGAACCCCTGTGCCGGGGTCTCTTCCCCCTCGCTTTGAGCCTTAGACAGGGCTGTGGTCGGGGGGGGCGTCGCTGGCCGCCACGGCCACCGTGTGCTCGGGGCTGCCCCCCGCCTTCCTCAAGTGCCCGTAGAGCCGCTCCTCGATGCCGCCCGTGATCTTGTCCATCATCAGCTCCGAGCCGGAGCCCAGCCCCAGGCACCTCCCGGGGCCGGGGCAATCCCCGGGGGGCTCGGGGCCACCTTTGGGCTCGGGCACGGCCTCTCCGGGCTCCTCCTCCACGATCACCTGGATCTCGGCGTCGGGGGGGACCCCGTCGGCCGCCTCCGCCGCCTCCTCGTCGCCGGCGCTGACGATGCGGGGCAGGGGGCTGTGGAAGCGGCTGTCCAGGGGGTAGTTGGCGCTGTCTCCGCGGCGCAGCGGGGTGCGGTGCCGCTCCAGGGCCGGGTAACGCACGCCGGGGTCGCTGTACTGCTTCGTGTGCTGCCACTGCTTGCGCAGGTGAGTGCGGGAGCGGTGCTTGCCCCGCAGCGGGGACTCGTCGAACTGGGGGTCGTGGCGCACGAAGGCGTTGAACAACGCGTCCGTCTTCTCGTCGATGCTGTAGTCCCGCCGGGGCAGCGCCTCCCGCCCCGGGAACATCTGCCCGTACGGGGACCAGGCCAGGGGGCTGTGGGGACGGGGGAGACCCCCCCCAGCCGCACCCCGGACCGTGCTGCCTTCCTCCTCCTCCTCCTCCTCTTCCTCCTCCTCTTCCTCTTCCTCCTCCTCCGGTTCCCGGCCCTCGAAGCTCTCGAAGATGGTGCCTTTCCGCCCCGCGCTGGTGAAGCAAATGCGCTTCTCAGAGGCCGTCTGGTCCTTGGGGGGCCCCTCCTCGCCCCCCCGGCTGGGCGCCTCAATGGAGGCGTAGCCGCTGTCCATCTGCAGCAGCTTGCGTGTGCCGGGCTCCGACTCCTCCGACTTGGGCCGACCCCAGAGCTTCTCCTCGGGGCCTTCGGCCTCGTCCAGGGATGAAGAGGGGCAGGGGGGGAAGCCGCCGGCCGAGGAGACGCTGTCGCCGCCGTCGCTGCGCACCGAGTCCTGGTCGTTGCTGCGCTCGGAGGAGGCGTAGAGCTCCAGCGAGGCGCGGAGGCTCCAGATGTCGTGGTAGGCGCTGGGGGGCTCGGGGACCCCGGCCTCGCCGGGGCTGCCCTCGCCCGGCTCTAACCTGCGGGCACCACCCCGGCATCACGGCAGGGACGGGAATGGACTCAACGCTGTGGTCCCCATCACCTTCCCCATGCACCATCCACCCCCTGCTGCTGCCGGCCCCCCCCCCCATCCACCCCACACCAAAGACACATGAAGGTGGGAGCCCCCTCGTGCTTGGGGTCCCGTTCGTCCCGTCCGTCCCCCCCCCATCCCCTCTATCTACTGAAAAATACCTGCCGAGAGAGGGTGGGGGGCTGGCGGGGGAGGGCAGGAAGGGCCCCCCCGCGGGGTGAAAGGCCACATCGTCCGTGCGGGCGATGTACTGGATGATGTCGGTCTGGTGGGGGTCCCGGTCCTCCTGGTCCATGCTCTCGCTGGCCGCCCGCTGCCGTTGGAACTGCCGCCGCTTGGGAGACCCTGGAGGAGGGAGAGCACAGGGCAGGGCTAGGGGGGGGGCCGGTTCCATCCCAGCGCTGCCAGCGATCCCCGTGCCCGACCCCATGGGGCAGCTCCCACCTCTGGTGTCCAGGCTGGACGCCCGCTGGGTGCTCTCCAGCTTCCACTTCTTGATCTTGAAGTAGGGGCTGGCCCCGTCCAGGCTGGCGTGACGGCGCAGGCGGGTGAAGAACTGCAGCACCGTGCCCTGAGCGGGGGCCGGGGGGGGCTCCCCGGGGCTGGCGCTGCCCGGTCCAGCCGCCTTCCCACTCCTGGGTGCTGCTGCCAACTGGGAGCACGGGGGGGGGGGGGATACGGACCGTGAGGGCTTCATCCCGCTCAGCTGATGCACAAATGTCCCCCGAGGAAGGGGATGGGGAGGGGGGGGGGGACAGAGACGGGTCCTGCACATCCTCCCCACGTGTCTCCAGCCCCCAAGGAGCCCCAAGTGGGAATGGAGGGGTCAGGGCAGGTTCTTCCCCTGCCCGGTCCCGGTACTCACCGAGGGGCCCTCCCCGGAGTCGGAGGAGGCGGCCGGGCTGGCCTGGGTGAAGCTGGTGTCGGCGCTGGAGTTGTAGGTGTCCCCGGGCAGGGCCGAGCTGGGGCACACGGCGTGGCTGGGGAGCACCGGCTGCGGCAGGGCCCCCGCGGGGGGCTGCGGGGCAGAGAGCGCTCAGGGGGCTCCACCCCAGAGCCAGCGACCAGGAGGAGCCCCCTTGCACCCCAGGACCTTGCCCCAAGCCCCCCAACCCCGGCTCCAGCGGTGCCCCCCCCCCAGAGGCTCACCTGGAAGATGGCGAGGCCGGGCTTGGCGGGCGGCAGGCGCGGGGTCATGGCCAGGCTGTTCTCGCTGGACTCGCACTCGTGGATGGTGACGATCTTGAGGGCGGGCGGCGGGAGGTGCAGGTGGGTCAGGCGGGCGTTCTTCAGGTGGTGGAAGTCCCCCTCCGTCAGCGTGTACCTGCCGGGCACGCAACGTTAGGAGGGGGGGCCCCGGTGTCGTTGTGTGTGTCCCGTCCCCCCCCTTGGCTCTCCCCCTGTCCCAGCCTGGAGCTTCACCTCCTCCCCTTCTCCTGGGTCTTCTTGCCCTGCTCGAAGAGCGCGGCCTCGTTGAAGGACACGCGGCGGGCGGTGGAGGAGCTGGAGGACAGGAACCGCTCGCTCTCCGCATCCCGGTAGCTGGAGGACGACAGGCAGTCGGGGTCCTCCACTTTGATGGTGATATCTATGGAAAAGGGGGTGTCAGTAAGCAGGGACCCCCACCGTGGGGCACAGCAGCATCCCCAGCATCCCCTGCTGAGGCCGGGCAAACTCACTGCACCCAAGGCCTCAGTGCCAACCACCCAGCTGGGTGTTGGGCAATGGGGGTGTGCGGCCACCCCAGCACCCAGGAGAGGGGGGGGGGCCCAGGAGCTGCTTCACCCCCATTGGGGAGCTGCTGGTGTTACTGGTGGGGGGACAGGGGCAGGTCGCTGTGACGCTCACCCTGGGCCGGCTGCGAGTCCTCCAGGTAGGTGGTGTTGGTTTTCTCGGGGTCATCGCTGGCTCTGTTGGGGGATGCAGGGGTCAGCAGTGCCCCACAGTGCCCGCCCCAACCCGTACCCCACATCGTGGCGCTGCCCACCTGGAGTGCCGGCGGTCAGCCTCGCAGCACCGGCGGCAAATGATCAGGATGCTGGAGAGCAGGACCAGGGTGCCGCCGATGAAGATGGAGAGCAGGGCAAGGAGCAGCACGTACCCATCCTGGGGGGACACCTCACCGGGCACCGCCTGCGCCAGGCATAGGGGCTGAGCCGGGTCCACAGCCCAGCCCCGGCCCCATGGGGGTGTGGGGCTGACGCTGAGCGCTGCTCCCCAGAGATGCTCCTGCTCCCCCGCCACCCCCGGGCCTGCTGCCGGCTCTGGGGACCCGCCTTCACCAAGGCAACGGTAGCCGGGGGGCCCCACACCGAGCAGGGATGGGGATGGGGACAGGACCCCAGCCCCAGCGCGGGGGTCGGTGCCTGCACCCCCGTGTAGCAGCACTCAGAGCATCTCAGGGGGATGCGGAGGGCACGGAGAGGGGTCACCCACCCCCAGGAGCGATGCAGCAGGGGGGTGGCAGCGGGACGCAGACCCCAGCCCCATGGAGGCCATGCAGAGCCCGTCCCCCCCCCCAAGCCGGGAGCCCGGCGGGGGCAGCGCAGGCAGGGGTGGGCAGTGCGGCCCTCCTCACCGTCGCGCTCTCGGTCGCGTTGTCCCACGGTGTCGGCTCATCGCTCATGGTCCGTCCCAGCCCGAGTGCGTCCTGGGGCGGGGGGAACCAGCGGGAGGTGCCGGGGCCGGGCCGGGGGTAGGGGGCAGCGGGTCCTGCCCGGCCCCGGGGCCCTGCCCGGCACCGCGGTGCGGGAAAGACCGGGAGGAACCGGGAGGGAGGGACCGGGAGGGAGGGATGGAGGGAGGGATGGAGGGAGGGACCGGGATGAAGGGATGGAGAGAGGGTGTGGTCAGGAGGAAGGATGGAGGCGCGGTGGGATGGAGGGAAGCAGGATGGAGGGATGGGGAGGAGGATGCAGCCCCCTGGTCCCCCATCGCTGTCACCTTGCGCCCGGCTTCCCGTGGGGCACAGACCCGCGTCCCCGCCGGCAGCCGGAGCTTCCCCCGTGCTGGCCGGGACGGTGCCCCAAGGAGGGGGGGGGGGACACAGGGGGAGCTTGTGGGGAGCAGCTCAGGGCACTGAAGGGGGGGGGGGGCAGGCGGGATCCCAGCGGCTCTTGGGGCTTGAGTCAGCCCAGCAGCGGCTCCGGCACCGCAGGGTCCGTGCTGCCGGGGGCGGGGGGGGCAGGGGGGCGGGGGGGTGATGCCGGTGTCGGGGGTCGCTCCGCTGGAATCCGCTCAAAATCAGGTCAGAGAAAGCCGTGAATGGAGCCTCGGCCCCGGGGGGGGGTCGGAGCCGCTGCTCCGGGGGGGGCTCGGCCGGCAGCGAGGGCCGGGGGGGGGCCACTGGGGATCTGTACGGACCCCTCGGAGGGATATGGGGGGGGGTCTGGGGGAGACCCCCCCCTTGCACCGGCCCTGGGGCACCGCCGAGCTGCCGGGGTGGTGCAGGGTGATGTGGGGTGATGGGAGGCACCCCGCGACCCCCGGGGATGGAGAAAGGGGGGGTCCCTCCTCTGCCCCCCCGGCGCTGTGCCCAGGGCATGGGGAGAGCCGGGGCCTGGCGGGGGGCGGCCCCGGTGGGATGGGCACCCATGGATGGGATCCCTGCGGGCACCGAGGCTGGGGCTCGGGGGGGGGGGGGAAGGATGACGGATGAAGGGTGCCCCCCCGTTCCCCATCATGGAGGAATCCCGTCTCCATGGCGACCCAGCTGGAACAGCGCGGCCATTGTCTGGAGGGGCCAGTCCCCGCGGCCTCTGGGCGGCCCCGGGCCGGGACACGGACACAGACACGGGGGGCTCGGGCCGGGGGACCCGGCGCTCCCGCATGGAGTCAGGGGGAGGGCGGGGTCTGTGCCCCACAGGTGTGCGCATCCCATGGGGCCGGGGGGGGGGGGGAGCGGAAGGACCCGCTCTTCTCCCCGCGGCTGCCCCGGCCCCACCCGGGATGTGGGATGCAGGCAGGGATGCGGGAGGTAGGCAAGGATGCTGGCAGGGATGTAGGGTAGCGGCATATGGGAGCCCCACGGGGCTGAGAAGGATGTGGGGCAAGGATGCGGACAGGGATATGGGGAAGGGATGCTGTCAGGGATGTAGGGTAAGGATGCTGGCAGGGATGTAGGGTAGGGATGCTGGCAGGGATGTAGGGTAAGGATGCTGGCAGGGATGTAGGGTAAGGATGTAGGGTAGGGATGCTGACAGGGATGCAGGACCCCCCAGGACCTCCACGCGCGGTGGGATGCGAGGGGGTCTCCCCGGTCGGGCCGGGTCCAGCTGTCGCGATAGGGGCTGTCGCGAGGCGGCGGGGCCAGACACTCACCTACAGCCGGGACCGGGGCTCCATCGCCGCCGCTGCGCTCGGTGCGGGGTGGCCCCGGGATTTATGAATGAACCGGAGCCGCCCCCGCGCGGCGCGGGCGTCACGTGGGGATAGGGGCTGCCCCGAGCCCTGCCTGCACCAGCCCTGCCTGTACCAGAACCCTTCCTGTACTCAGAGCCAGCCCTGCCTGTACCAGAATCCTGCCTGCCCCACAGCCAGCCCTGCCTGTATCAACTCTGCCTGTACCAGAGCCCTACCTGTATCAACTCTGCCTGTACCGGAGCCCTGCCTGCACCAGCCCTGCCTGTACCAGAACCCTGCCTGTACCCAGAGCCTTGCCTGCCCCACAGCCAGCCCTGTCTGTACTGGAGCCCTGCCTGTGTCAACTCTGCTTGTACCGGAGCCATGCCTGTATCAACTCTGTACCGGAGCCGTGCCTGCATCTGCCTTGTTTGTACTGGGGTCTTGCCTGCATCAGCCCTCCCTGTACCCGAGCCCTGCCTGTACCCAGAGCCCCACCTGGACCCAGACCCCTGCCTGTAACCGGAGCCCTGCCTGTACTCAGAGCCCTGCTTGTACCAGGAGCCCTGCCTGTACCGGAGCTCTGCCTGTACTCAGAGCCCTGCCTGTAACCGGAGCCCCGCCTGTACCCGAGCCCTGCCCGTACCGGAGCTCTGCCTGTACTCAGAGCCCTGCCTGTACTCAGAGCCCTGCTTGTACCAGGAGCTCTGCCTGTACCCGAGCCCTGCCTGTACCGGAGCCCTGCCTGTACCCGAGCCCTGCCCTCACAGCCCCTCCGGGCCCGGGGGTTCCCGGTTGGCTCCGTTCAAGGTCTCTCCCCCTCACTGCCCCCAATATCGGGCCCCAGAACTACAAATCCCATGATCCTCCGCGGCCCGCCGCCCCTCTGCCGACACTTCCGGGCGGGCGCAGCGCCTCACGGCCGCTGTAGTCCGGGCCGCGGGGCACGCCGGGATCCGCTCCTCCGTGTCACGTGGGCCGCGCCCCCCCGCCCGCCCGTGCCCGCCGCCGCCGCCATGTTGGCCGCCCGCCGCCTCGCCCCGCTGCTCGCCGCCCGCCCGGTGCTGCCCCGAGCCCGCGGGTACGCGGAGGCCGCGGCCGGGCCCGCGCCCATGGCCTTCACCTTCGCCTCGCCCACGCAGGTACCGCGGGCCCCACCACCGGCACCGACCTTGGCCCTGACCTCGGGCTCGGTCCCGCTCCGCTCCCGGGTGTGAGGCGCTGCCGCAGGCCTGAGGGGGTGGTTGGGGGCTGCGGGGCCCGGGCACGGTGAGGGCCGCGCTGCCCCCCCCCCGTCCCACCGCCATCGCCGGCCCTCGGGGGGGCTCCTTCCCCGCTCGGTACCGGTGTTAACCCCCGGGGCTTTGCGACCGCCCCCCCCCCCCCGCAGCCACCGGCGTCCTCCCCGTCCGTTGCCGGTTCCCACCCGCTCCGCTCTCCCGTCTCCAGGTGTTCTACAACGGGGCCAACGTGAAGCAGGTGGATGTGCCCACGCTGACCGGCTCCTTCGGCATCCTGGCCTCGCACGTGCCCACCCTGCAGGTCCTCAAGCCGGGGGTGGTCACCGTCCATGCCGAGGATGGCACCGCCACCAAGTACTTCGGTGAGTGGCGGAGGGCAGGGGAGCTCTGCCCATCACGGGGTGCCCCGGTGCAGGGGGGTTGATGGGGCTCAGCGTGAGGCCATTGCTTGGGCTTGGGTGGTTTTGGTTCCGTTCACCCTCTCTGGAAGCATCTTTTCCTTCCAGTCCCCAAGGGATGTGGGGAAGCGCGGCAGTGGGGGGTGTCAGTCTTTGGTATGGCAAAGGGATCATGGAGGTTCCGGGATGCGCTGTCCCGTGGCCTGACCCCCAGGCAGGCCCGTGGGGCAGTGCTGCCTGAGCCGGTGCTGCTCTTGTGCCTCCGCAGTGAGCAGCGGCTCCGTCACGGTCCACGCGGACTCCACGGTGCAGGTGCTGGCGGAGGAGGCGGTGACCATGGACATGCTGGACCTGGCTGTGAGTGGCCTCTCTGGGGCAGGCGCCGGCAGCCGGGCTCCCTCCGGGGGGGGGGTTCTCTCCCCGTGGTGCTGGGGGTTGTCTCAGGAGCTTCCTGTGCCTGTGCAAAGCACGCCCGGAGCTCAGGGCTGCTCCTTCACCCCCTCCCTTGCTTCCCCATCGCCCCCTGATCCGCATCAAAGGGGCTCCTCCTGATGAACTCCCCGCAGGCTGCGGGGAGAGGAAGCAGCGCAGTCATTACCCCTTCCCCAGGCCACTTCCCTCCCTCACACAGATGCTGATCTTGCCCCTCCCCAACCCTCTTTAGTCTCCAAACCAGCTTTCCCCCTTCAGGGCCTGTTGATAAGGTGTCTGCGGCCAGCCCAGGGTCTGTGGGGCCCCTGCATGGGGGTAGGAGGGCTCTGTCCTGCCGTGGTCTCTCCGTGACGCAATTCCTTGTGCTCTTGTGTTCAGACTGCAAAATCAAACCTGGAGAAGGCTGTTTCAGAGATGGCTGCAGCATCCGACGAAGCAGCTAAAGCAGAAGCTCAGATCAAAGTAGAAGCGAACGAAGCCCTTGTAAAAGCCCTGGAGTAACTGAGGTCAGTGTCACCTGTGTCCTGGCTGGGACCTCTGCAGACCAGTTCCTGCGCTCCAGTGCTGCCCAGAGGGAGCTTCCTCTCGCAGCAGCTGGCTTTGGGGAGCAGCGACACCAGAGCTGCCCTTCTCTGGGGGTGTCAGCTCCATGGGGCTCACCCTGCCCAGAACGGCCCCAGTGCGGTGCTGGGGAGGCCTCCGGGTTCAGCCTGATGTCAGGGGAGGCTGCTGGGGCCTCACTGCTGCCTCCAGGTCACCGCTGGGAAGGGCAGCTCAGGGGCAGGCTGATGCCTGAGGCCCCAGAGGGAGAGCAGCAGGCGGCCTCTGCCCTGTGTATGCTCCCTTCCACTGCAAACAAACAGCTTCTGTCTTGGGGTGGCAGGGCCAGGCCCCTTTTCCTTTATGGTGCCTTACCCCTCCTTTTCCCCGTGTGCTGGCAGCTGCGGGGCTGTGTGGGGCTGGTGAGGCACCAGGAGCTGCTCCAAGGGGCTCTGCAGGGGGCAGATTCAGTTCTCTGCTCTGGCCTGGGAGAGCCCCTGGCTTTGGGTTACTGGCAGTGGTTTAAGAGCCCTTGGATCAGAACCCACCTTAAAATCGATCCCATTTCTCTGTGTTGCAGGAATTGCCCTGTGGATGTAGAGGAAGCCCAGACTGCCCCACTTGTCCTGGCTGCCCCTATTGTACAGATGGTTTGGGACAAACGGAGGCGGACAAAACGCTCTGATCCATTAAAAGGAAACGTTATCCTATCTCGTAGCATTCCGCCTTCTTCCGAGGCATGAGGTGCAGCTCGTGCTGCTCCGGTGGCTGCGTGCCTGGGGCTGGTGGTGCAGCCGCTCGGGAAGCTGTGCCTGGGCTCCGCTGGGCATTCCCATCCATGGGAGATTCACCTTCAGGAGGTTGTCAGGCTGATGTTACACCCCTTTCCATGTGCTGTCAGCTACCTCCACCTCAAATAATCCACCTGGACAGCGGGATTACAGCACGAGGAGGAGGCAGCATCCATGGGGCCATGGACGTCTGTGCCAGAGGCTTCCTGCCCCATCCGGCTTTTGCTCAGCGACCCAGCTCCGTTGCCACAGGAGTTCCTGTTTCTGGGCTGTTTCATCACGGTGCTGCTTGCAGCTGGACAGCAGCTGCCCGGGTTTGGCCCCCATCCCCTGCACTGCATCTCTCCCATGCATGTGGCACACAGAGCAGGGGAAATCTGCCCCCGCTCCTCGGAAGCAGGCTGGGTGCAGGGAGGGAAGCAGATGCCGAGCACAGTGGGAGGCTTTCCTCACATCTGTGTGTGGTGAGGGGCTGGTAGCAGCCCGGGGCAGCCCGGAGGAGGGAGGCAGCGCTTGCGTGGCTGTGGCCAGCTCACCCATCTCCATGGGATGAGTGGGCTTCAGTGGGGAGCCGGTTCTGCCTGTGCCAGGTGCCCAGGATGGGGTCTTGCCAGCAGCACCGGCTGCTGTGAGGCTCCGCGCTCGGTGCTGAGCTCCCTGCAGGGGTTCTGGGTTCTCTTTGCAGTGTGGGCTCTGCTGGGCACACAGGGTCCCCTCACCCTGCTCTGATCCCCGCAGCCTTCCAGCGCCTGCAGGGAACAACATGCTTTGCCTTCCCGGTGCCTGCAGCCGCTCTGCAAAGGGCAGCAGCAGCTCCATCCTCCCGCGCTCCGGGACACGGCTATTCCGGGTGCTGCCACCCAGGATGTCATCTTGGCTGCCTCCTCCTCCTCACCGCCGCCTCCTCCCCCTCCTCTCTGCTCCGTCTTTCTCCCCCCCCCCCTTCCCAAGTGATCAGAAATAGCGCCTGTGCTGTTAAATCTCTCACTGTGGCTCATTAAAAGCCGCCGAGTGCCTGACGCTGAGGCTATTTGAAGCTCAGCCGACTTCCCAGCTCCTGAGCTGCTCCGCTGCCTCTTTCTTCCCCTCCTTTTCCTTCTCTTTTAAAGGTCGTGCGTTGCTCCGTGCCTAAGCAAAGCCTCCGAGTCGGAGCGGGTGCTAATTAAAACGCCTCGGGAATAACTGGGGACGGGCTCTTTGCTCCCGCTTCCGCTGCCTCCCGCTCGCCCCTGTCCCCGGTTTCTATTTGCGGCGTGCGGGTGCCTCCCCCGGCGCTGACGGAAGGTGCCTGCTTTGGGGGGGTTTCAGCTGATGGAAGAGCGTTGGCGAGGCCGGGAACTGGGGAAACGGCCAGCGGCTATTTTTAGGATGGGAAAAAAACAGTGGCTCCGTCAGCGGCCTCTCACCAGCTCTTTCCGCTGCCTCCTGCCAGCACCGGGGGCACGGGGACCGCTGGGGACCTGGTCCTGCCCCTCTCAGGGTGCCCTTGGCCAGGCTCTCGCAGCGCGATGTCTCTTGGGATTTGTAGTTTGGGGGGAGCAGCGACCCCCCCCCCCCCATGGCTCCCAACACGTAGGGGTTCTCCTGCCTTCAAGCTGTGGGGAAGGGGCTTTTCTGACCCCCTGCCACCAAGGCAGGACCGGAGCAGCGCTGGGCAATGCCTGTGAGCCTGGCTTGCATTGACCTGCGCTTTGGGGGTGGAGGGGACATCCCCTGTGCTCTCCCACAGCCCCTTTACATCCCGGTCACCCTG